ATTTTGGATAGCTTGGAGGTGCCAACTTTGGACCACCATAACTCCGTCCTCCGGCCACCTTTTTCCACGGACCAATATACCATATTGAAGCCCTCAATTCCCTCTTCAAAACCCATCCGATCACTGGCTGTGATCCAGTCAAATTGTCCGGAAAATCGCCCCAAAGTGGGCTATCCACGTACAGCTTGCTGTCCAAAATCCGGCTGTGAATGGGTAGCTCACTTTGGATCCTTTTTTCCGGCTAATTCCGATGGGATCACGGCCATTGGTTGGGTGGGATTTGAAGATGGAATTTAGGGCTTCAATATGGTATATTGGTCAGTGGAAAAAGGTGGCCAGAGGATGGAGTATTGGTGGTCCAAAGTTGGCACCTCCAAACTGTCCAAAATTCGGGTAGTTCACTTTGGCTCGATTTTCCGACCAATTCTGGCGGGATCACGGCCAGTGGTTGGGTGGGTTGTTAAGAGGGAATTGAGGGCTTCAATTTGGTATATTGGTTCGTGGCAAAAGGTGGCCGAAGGACGGAGTTATGGTAGTTCAAAGTTGGCACCTCAAAACTGTCCAAAATTCGGGTTAGCTCACTTTGGTCCTTTATGTTTGAATTAAAGGCAAAACGGTCCTCCAGTGACTGTTTGTGAAAGTGTATGAAACTTCAGTGATCGTTTCTGCAAGTTTTGAATTTCAGTGACCGTTTTGTTATTTTTGCGTAAGTTCAGTGACCGTTTGTGAAATTAACTCATTATTTATTTAATTAAGGTCTTAAATTATTATTTTTTAAATAATTTTTTATTATATTAGGTGGGGAAGGGAAATTGTGAGAACCACCGCCTCGTATTTGATAATTTCACAATATTACACAAGATTCACGTGAATTCTATTTCAAATGAAAGTTTTCAAAAGTCTTTTGAATTTTATAAAATTTTATAAAAAATTTAAAATGAAAGTCTATGAAAATTTTCAAAAGACTTTCACTAATTCCATACAAATCTTTAAAAAATCCACGAAATTCACAGAAGTCATCACTTTCAAAAAGTCAATCAAAGTTTTCAAAAGTTCCAATTGAATACACCCATGTAAGATTTGTTCACTCTTTTATTTAATTAAGAAATGTGAAATACACAGAGGAAAAAATAAAGTTATTGCATAAAAATGTAATATTACTTAAATGTTTACTTATTATTTTTATTACATACCATGACAGAAAAAAATACAAAAGTAAAGAACTGATCTTATACTTAAAAGCACCATATAACTTTCAAAAGCTCATTTTTCTTAAAAAAAAAACATCATCCAAGCAACTAAAATCTTCTGCGCAATTCTATATAGCAAACTTTTTGTTGACGAAAGAGATGTTCGACTGCTGTATTCGCTTTTGAATTCTTCTTAGCTAGTTGGCCTTTTCTGAAAGAGCTTACCATATTGTGAATCAGAAGTATAGGACCAATGGTGGCTGCAGAATAGTTTTTTTCCTCCTAAAATTTGTGCCCTTAATCGTTTATATTAAGAAATAATTATAAATACATATATATCACACATTATATAAATATGGTGCTTTGCACGGCCGAATTTCCTGCACTAAGCCTCTTTATTGCGTAATAATAATAATAATAATAATAATAATAATAATAATAATAATAATAATAATAATAATAATAATAATAATAATACTAGCCCCATGAAGAATTAATTAATTAATTAATTTTGCATATTTAGGATTTATTAATTTTGCACCGTATTTATTAGATATTTTTTCAGATTGGATATTAATTAATTATTGCAAAATATATTTAATCAAGCTTGAGTAATTAAGATTCATTACATTTACAATAATTGCTCTGCAGTAATTTAATATTTTCAATTTATTATAGGCAACAAAAAACTAGAAATGAAGAGGATAGTTCCTTGTATTGTCCACAAACCAATGCAAAATATTGCCATAATTCACCACGATTTATCTCTCTTTCGCTCCGACTTGTAAAACAAATTTAAGCAAATTTTATACAACGAATCGCAATTATTATTTATAGAAATCTCAAAATCATATCGAATAAACATTCTATGTGACATTAGAAACCTTGCCCTAAAATACAATCTTAAAAATCTCATATCCAAATACACAAACATGCATAAGCCAGAAAAAAAAAACCCTAGCTATTACAAGAAAATGTTAATATTTTCAAATTTCAAATGGTCCAACATTTCCCTCTACGGTAGATTAACCACTTTCTCTTAACCGTCGTGGTAACCGCTTGAGATAACTTCTTTGATGGGAAGAAGTTTATAAATTGAGATAGTGGTATTGGTCCCTAAGCCTGAGTTCTCTGTCACGAAAATACACCATCTAAGGGAGTTCTTGAAGGCTTAGAAGCACCAAAACACAATCCGAAATTCTGCATTTCTGCATCAATGGCTGGAGGTCCGTTTTCCATATTTCCGCATTTGATCTATATGTTGTTATTTACATACACATGATAGATCAAATTAAAGTCTAACAGAAACTTGCACAAAAATCAAATTTTCAGACAACCTAGTAATAATCAAACTACTGTCAAACACTTTTATCAGTAAAATCAAACTCATTATCAAGAACAAGTTAAAGAAACACAATACATGAACACTCACTTGATTCATTACATGTCCCTAACTTGGAATTCATTGCGATTCTTAACAACGATATCGTACATGTGTATGGACTTGAACTTGTTGAAATCTTTGGGAAGAGAGATGAGATGGACTGTTGATCTCTTGTGGAACTGAAGAAGGCTAGGATCATCATAGTACCTCTCCCATCCGAGTGATGATAATTTTCTTTCGAGAATAGCATAAGATGTAATAATGTCGTTAGACGAGACATGGATTAGCATTTTCCGGCCATGACAGTCACCAGGATTTTCAACTAGTCGAACAACACCATTCTTGAAAACCCAAACACCAGACATTTTTTCCACTAGAGCAAAAGGAAATGGAAATAAAAAAATAAAAATGAGAGAATGAGAATCAAATGCAAAGAGTGGTATGTGGTTCAAAGATGAACTTATGAGCAAGGGCAAAGGGGTCCTCCTGAATGTGGATATATATAGAATTTAGAAAGAGTTGTTTGGGAGATATTTTTTCAGGGGAAAAATGATTTTTTCGAAAAAATGTGTTAAAATATTAGACAAAGTGAAAAATATTATTTTTGAAGAATGTGTGGTAGAAAAGTAGGAAAAATTTATCGGACCATGTGATTTTCTTTTTTTGGAAAATATTGTTAAAAATGAGTTTATGAAAAAGTAATTTTTAAAATAATCTCTCCCAAACAAGGTCTAAAGTTAATTTTTAACAATTGAGGAGCATAAGAACTTATAAAAAAAGCACTTATATTTTACAGGGACTAATGACAAAAATTTGATATGGTTCGTGTGTATATACGTTTTTAAATAAACGTATTCGGTATACCCCGACTTTTGTCTTAATGGGTTCTTAAGAATCTTCTCCTTATATTCTTTAATATTTAAATAATATAATAATAAATCATAGTAATTAATTAATAAGTATTCTAGTGCATTTTAGGAAAAAACAAAAATAAATGCAAAGAGCAAATGTGTAGTATATGAATTGTATTAAAAAAGTATAAACTTTGAATAAAGTGCACCATTAAAAGAAAAAAGTAAATTAAATAGGAATTCCATATATGTGATGATCATCTATACTAATATACACAAGAAATGATTTACTATGCAATGTTGTTTAGCTTATTCTTAGCTAATTTAATTCATGTAACCTACTAAATTTTTAGATCCATCAATTAATTAACATGTCATATATATAAATCTTATTAAGTATAAGCTAAGTAACGATGTTTATTAGACCATATTTATAATAAATATGATCCACTAAGCAATGATGCTTAGCATAACACTAACATGACATATCAGTTCAACAAATCTAATTTAATTTACGGGAGCCAAAATAAATTTGTTCATCAATTAATTAATGTGTCACATCTCTTTATATGTATGTGTATTTGTGTTTGTATAGGTTAACTGGATCATCTTATTTTGATTTATCGAACTAATCATAAATCAGTGTATTGTAATCCCGCTACACATTGACATGAATGGAGTTGAAGAAAGGTTAGGGACGCCCATTTGCAGGTATGTTTTTAAGTAGAATAATAATGTTTGCAGTCGCTCACTATCTTTTCGTCCTACGTGACATATATGTAGCGATTGATAATTTGATGCATGCCGTAATAAAAAATTATCACATTAATGTATCAAATCATTAACCACCATATATATGCTATGCAAGACAACTATGGTAATGAACGACTGCAAATAGTATCACTCTTTTAAGTATCTACCTCTCGAATACTATTCCACATCTCGCTGGCCAACCTTGACCTATATTATTTTGAGATCATATCAAACCATTCAGAGTCCACCTCAATTGATACGGCTCTTGCGGCCCTGCACCCAAAGAGGGCTTTACCTATACGTCCATTATAAGGGAGAAGTGTATGCAAATGAAGGCCTCATTCATGGCCTGGAATATGACAAAAGCTGCAACTGTCAAAATCAAACTGATGAAAAACAAATCCAGAACTCTTTTTCCCATACTCTATGGATAGGATAAGAAGACGAAGATTTTTCTATCAAGATTTTCACGACTTTTCTTGAATATTTTTTATTTCTTTTTTCTCTGTCTCTTCAATTGATATATCGAGAGGGAAATGTCACAGTATAGCCCATTTGAAAAAAAGAATGGGGTTCCAGACACTTTTTGGAAAGTTTGTTATTTTGTGAAAACATTAGAGCATGTGTTGATAACAAGTCTTATCCTACACCAAGTCAATTGGCTAAATTCCAATGAATTACCATCTTTCTACAGTACAACAAATCCAACTCAAACAAATAGGACAAAGAAATCTTCTATGTACAGCTTTACAAGCACGTGTCCTTTGGATTCTTATGGCTGCTTACTCGGTATTGATCTCATTCTAAAGGTCGGACAGGTTTCGTTTTATTGTTGCTCGAAGAAATAAAATACAAAATTTCTGGGAACCATATTGGCTCATGATCATTCATAGTCACCTCTTCAAAATATGCCAATTGCGGAATATCCTATCTCTAAGAATCTAAGATGTGTAGAGGGGCATGAATTCACACAGTTTAACTCAAGAACCCGTACATTTTTTTATATCGAGTAATTTTATAATATAGTTTTAATAGGTTTTACATCCGGTCAATTTGTCCAAAAATGTAAGTTGATGAGGATGCGAGTTGATCGATAGGGTTGCATTGATGTATGCAAACTCGATTAAATAATATTTTATTTATTAAAGGAAATAAGACTTGATCGATGGATTGTTCGAAGGGCTCGTAGGCCTTGTCACTCCAAGGGCGCCACATACGTCCCCTATTCGTCCAAGGCCACGTTGACCCTGGACGAATAGTAAAACCCTCGTTCGAAAACCTCCATATTGAAGTTTGACTGATTCTGAGAATGCTAATAATGAAGAGGAAAAAACTCGGAGTACAGGAAATTTTTGACATCTTTGTTATCAAAAGTGATGTGGCCAAATGTGATTCACCTAGTTTTTATTATTATTTATTTTTTCCATCTTTCAATGAATGCATGCCAAGTATTGTCTGTAAACATTTTCTGTCAAACCTGTTTGTACTTATAGCATGATTGTAATTAAGAACCTTGCTATCTTTACACTTTGCCATGTGATGTTATTCAATTGGACAGTTTAAATTTTAAACAATTTTTTCATCCAAGTATTTGTTGACAACAATGCAAGTTTCAACCAAAGTTTATAAATTAAGAGTACAAATGGCAAAGTCCAATAATTTAGTGATGAATTAATTGCAGAAAGAATCGAATCAAACTAAAATTTTCGGGTATTTATTAAGTGGAACTATCGGGTCCAAATATAATTATGGAACCATTCGGGTTCAGTTCGATTCCATACCATAATTAATTTTTTAAATAGATTTCTAATGGTCAATGATCGATGGTCGTGGTCGGAGGTCGCGATTTCAATGAGCGGTTGGAGAGCGGAAGTCGGACTCGGCAGTCGGCGGCTTCGATTTGGGCATGAAGATGTAAAATTTTAATTTATATATGATTTGTGGTCAGTGTCTCAATGATTATCGAATGAAAGTGTGAAATTAGAAAAAGAAAGATAAAAATTTAAGAATTGCGCTGTTCGAGATAAAAGAAAGAAAGACGAAATTGAGCTAAGAAAGAAATTAATAATTGAGCCAAAAAACTAAATCAAAAAATTAAATTTAGAAATTGGATTGGCCTAAGCTAGCTAGACACGAACTTGGCTTGTGAGTTCGAACATTAATTACTAAATTAGTTAATTTGCTAATTTGTTTAGAAAAAATTAAAAAAAAATTATTTAATTCAATATAAAAAATTTTAAAAAAATTATTTAAATTCAATTCTTCGGTTCAGGTCTAGAACTCGTCGATTCTCGCTTCTGATATCCGTTTGAATATTTAATTTATGGAGAACTACTCGATTCGAGAATTTTGTCTCACCCTAAAAATTGCCATGACGGCCATACATTATTTTTCATCTTCCTTTTCAAGGCGGTACTTTCTATTGTGGTGATGACTTAATTGCTGGAGTCTCTGTCCAACTAAAATCTTGATGGTCAAAGGAAAATTAATGATGGTCAGCTTGTAAGAACATTGTATGGATCTCACCAGAAAATAGTAACATTCTACAGTATGTTTTTATTATTGTACTCTCCTTTCTCTCACTACCTAAATTGTGATTCAATATAAGAGAAAGTTAATTATAATTAGAACATCAATGGAATTATGGACACCAAACAAGTTTCATCATTTATTGCCTTTCGTTTATTTATTTATTAAAACACCATCAAGGTGGTGTCCATAGATAAAACCAAAACTATGAGTAGCATAGAGCCTTACAAATGAACTTGAAATCGTCTTTTTAAAATGCAAACATATCGAATTAGTGAAGCCTTTGAAATACCAAGCACTATCGATAAATAAACCGATCGACAACTTCTTGTACCTAACATACGGATCCTCCAAAATGATTGAGATGAAGAATACCCGCAAATTTACCATGCACTACGCCGGGGCTACAAATAGGCAAGCAGTCCACCACCTGTCCCTCATTTGCCGAAAAGAAATGACGAAGTAAAAAGTAAATTTTTAGTAGATGATGTTGGAACTTTAATGAAACTTCAACTTTATAAACTTGCCAAGATTTTCATGTCAAACTATCAAAAAATGAATTAACGCGGAACATACCTTAATCCATTGATTTCTGACTTGAATAATGAATCTTGATTGTAAATCTTCCATTTGGTTGCTTCAAACCTCCTTCTTGATTCCTGATTTTGGATTATGGATCTTCCTCTTCATATGCTTTCCCTTGTATTCCTGTGTTGATGGGATGACACAAAGAATGTGAAAATCACACATGAATTCGGGATCATAACCCTTTATATATATTTCCATATGTATTCGGCTCATCGCCCAATACAAACCCTAATGGATCCGGTCTCTACACATATAGTCCGGTCCACACTTTATTTAGATGCTTAAAGCCCAATTACTTAATTCTTTANACTTTAATTTTGGACTTAACTTTAACATAACATTTATACACAATTAATTATATATGTCGGTCCACATGGCAAATTAAATAATTTCCCAACAGATGACGGGATAATGGACCGTGTAATGAATAAATTTTAACATTTTCATACCTTAATACTTTTGAGTTCCGTCCAATTCTTCCATCAAACATGTTTATAAACTTTTAAAGATGAGTTAGTATTTTAATATGACACCATAGCACCGCGTGTAAAGACAACACATTCTTCACTATCAAGAAGAGTTAATAAGAGATGCAAACAACAATTACGATCATCTCTAACAATCGATGTAAAGATAACATCGATTGTTTCATAACAAGATTAACGGTTTGTCTGAGTGAAAATATAGCAGGAAAACTGAAAAATTATACGAACATAAGTAATTTCCATTACAGAATTATTCATACACATTTTACAGGACACAAATGCCAAACAACCCTGAAGTATACTAATATAGATTATTTTCATAGCCCTAAATCAGAAGACTAGAAAGACACTCAAACCAAACCAGAACCGAGATTTAAAGCAAAGAAGTGGAAAAGAAAGAAAAAAAAATAAAAACTCACCAAACAAAGGAAAATGTAAAAATCCTAAAGGCATGTTTGAAATTTTGGGCTTAATTTTAAGATATCATTTATACACAATTAATTACATATGTCGGTTCACATGGCAAATTGAATAAATTCCCAACAAATGACGGGATAATGGACGGTGTAATGAATAAATTTTAACATTTTCATATCTTAATACTTTTGAGTTCTGTCCAATTCTTCCATCAAACATGTTTATAAACTTTTAAAGATGAGTTAGTATTTTAATATGACACCATAGCACCGCGTGTAAACATAACACATTCTTCACCATCAAGAAGAGTTAATAAGAGATGCAAATAACAACAATTACGATCATCTCTAACAATCGATGTAAAGATAACATCGATTGTTTCATAACAAGATTAACGGTTTGTCTGAGTGAAAATATAGCAGGAAAACTGAGAAAAAATATACGAACATAAGTAATTTCCATTACAGAATTATTCACACACATTTTACAGGACACAAATGCCAAACAACCCTTAAGTATACTAATATAGATTATTTTCATAGCCCTAAATCAGAAGACTAGAAAGACACTCAAACCAAACCAGAACCGAGATTTAAAGCAAAGAAGTGGAAAAGAAAAGAAAAAAAAAAAAACTCACTAAACAAAGGAAAGTGTAAAAATCCTAAAGGCATGTTTGGGCTGTAGTGTTGGACAGTACTAAACACGTCTCTCCTTTCATTTTGTCCGTACTATCAAGTCTAACTTACCAACGCGACTGAAAGGATTAACGTCAAATTATTGCACGTCTCTAACTTCAAATTCGTTACGATTCTTTACGACGATGTCATACATATGCGGGGGCTTGAACTTGCTGAAATCTCTGGGGAGAGAGATGAGATGAATTGTAGACCTCTTATGGAACTGGAGAAGATCAGGATCATCGTAATACCTCTCCCATCCAAGTGACGATAATTTCCCTGCAAGAACATCGTACGAAGTGATCACTTCGTTACTCGGAACGTGTACCAACACTTTTGGGCGAGCATTCTCGACTAATCGTAAGACGCCATTCTTGAATTCCCATACACCAGCCATTTTCAATGCAGCTCAAGATTTTGTCGAGGTTTTGTCTTAGGACAACATGGCACTGCGACATTTAATATAGGACTTCAAAACATGGGCATAGTTCGCGATAGGGTATGTTTGGGAATAGGTGTAGCTAAGGTAGGACCCACCTGGGAGTGGGGGTAGGGTGATAGATACACTGTGTTTTTGGACCTTTGTGGGGACAATTTTTACAAACTTATATGTTGGGAGAAAATTTGAATTGGGTTGAGAAGAATCCAGTTTCTTTAATCTGATTCCTTTTAAAGCCCACTCTTCGGGAATCTTTGAATTTTTGGAGAGAAAAAAATGGAAAAATTATTATCAGACTTTTCTAGACAAATTTAATACAAAAAGAATTATTCTCTCCATACAAGAATTGACAGGAAAGCTGTATGTTAAGATCATAGCCAAATTCGAATATATAAGGTTTTCTCAAAATGTAATCGATATGTCATGTTAGCTTTAGAAATGAATTGGTATAGATGTTATTCATGTTCTTTACGAGGAATAAGATTAAGGTATAGGTAATGCAAAAGTAAGTTTACATCTGTAGGTTCAATGAATTAGGTCTACTTCACGTGTGTGTTGTTTAGAACGCATTAAAAAAGTATATAGATTCGTTAATCATGCTCTACTTCTTCGATTTATTAAAAAAGAATAAAAAGCACCTTAAAGTTGTACTTGGTACACTTATCGAGATGGAATGCTGACCTAATGCATATAACGTGGCAAAACTACCTATTCCAAGTTAAAAATGAAGAGCATTAGCTTGACTCGTAAAGTTCAAACTAACTGATGTTGTTAATTTTAAATCTCCATCATGTTAATCAGATAATTTTGAGCCAAATCAAAAGTTAAGAAGCGTTTGAGGTCAAACCCATGACCTTTTTACCATGATCTGATAGAGCCTCGCTAAGCATCAATTAGTTAAAAGTTAGTACATCTCAAGGTCGACTTAGCGCATAACAAGTTTTGTACTGTGCAGTTCTGTCTAACTTGCAAATAATGTGTGGTTGGGGAAGTGTATGTGCTGCATGTAGTCTAACATTTTTAGAAAGGCATACTGTCATTTCATCAAATGGAAGTGTTCAAATTCTCATTTAACTTTGGACATTTGGTAGGAGTTAGGACCAAAAAGAAAGGATTCTCTTTTGTCATCTTAATGGGTATCTAGACCAGTTTGAGGCTATCTGCTCCCTTTTGTTTCTTGAAAATTATTGATTTCCTTCTTTTCCCCTTCTCGAAAAGAATTTAGTACATTAAACTTATTAAAGGAAAGAATAATGTGAAATTTTTGACCATTGTTTTATCAAGTCCAATGTGCCAAAAGCTCTCTCATTGTTTTAGAACTACAGTATTCATAATTATGGCATATTCAAGAAAAATTTAAGCCCACAACCAACTACTCGACCAAGTGAAGTAAATAAAAACGTAAATAAAAC